CGGGACGGGTGGTTGGAGTCGGGAAGGGATGGGATCGCAACCGGGGAGTTGTTCGAGACGAGGTTGGTGGCTGATGCTCTGCCTCCCTCAGTTAAAAATCCTCCTTTGGGGTTAAATGTGCGTTTCTCTGCGCGATGGGGATTACGCTTTGGGTGGGAAGGTGGCTCTGCCACCCAGGCAACCTCTGGGAATGACAGCGTGAAAGCGAAGCGAAGCCAGGAGGCCTCCCAGTCCAGCCCCATGGCCAGCAGCGAAGAAATTATAGGCAACGTGGAAGTTGTGGGTCAGGTTTCGGGGTGCGTTCAGCTGCCCCTGGAAGCAGGGAACTCTCCCCGGCTCTCCGGGAAAGCTGCTGAGCGTCCTGGCCTGTGCGGGACACAGCCCCGGTGTAATTGTGATGGAGAGGTGCGAGCGAGCGGGGAGCCAGTGGATGTGCAGAAGCACAGGAGGGCAAATTCACCCTCTCCAAAAGGAGCCAGTGCCTGTGTGAGAGGCTGGTGGGTGGTGGTGGTGGAGTTTCCCCTCTGGGGTGAGCAGTGTTTGCCTCCTCGCTGGCCCTGGCATCCTTCCTCCCCCAGCAGTGGCAGCCTCGGGGAGGGGCTCAACACATGTCAACCACAGACTCAGCCACCACGGGAGGGGAAATGATGGGGCCAGACCGGGCGTGCAGGGCTTTACGCCGAAACCACTTTGGTGAGATGCTGGCAAACCCTTCAGCCAGCGCCACAGAACACGGGGCCGCCGTCAGCAAACTCACCCATTTATATATTTATTTATTTATTTATTTAAGGAAACTCTGCAGCTTGGAGCTCAACCCATCCCTATTCTCCCGAATTTCCCCGTGCAGCTGGTGTGAAGGGCAAAGCAGCGCTGGCCCTCCCCCCGGCAAGCTGAGCCAGCAGATGGCAATGCCATCCATGCGCTGAGGTGAGTCGGTGCTCAGCGCTCCGTCGCCCTGAGCAGGGGCTCGCTGCAGCTGGTTGAGTGGCTCCTCTCCGCACTGGGAAGCGATGCCATGCAGGGCAAGTCAGATAGAAAATGGGTTTATTTCCAGATGCTGCAGGGAAACTAATTTTGATTTAACAAATAGGCGATACTGAGGTATCTTGAGTTTTTATTTCAATCCTATTCCACAGAAAACAATATTCACTAGCATTATCTTCCTTACATTTGTTTTTAATTTGACCCAATACTGTGTTAAATATAAAATACTGATTGACCAAGAATGGACGGTGAAAAACACGAGATGCTAAAAAGTTCCCTCAAACCCTCCTCCACTGACACCCTGAATGTTACGAGTCATTTAAAATTAGTATAAAACAGGAGAACAATCCGATAATCTGCTCTGTGCCTCCCACCCTGCTTTGCAAGGGAAGGATTTAGGAAGCGAGAGAAGAGGGGGGACTTCAGAATTACAGAGAAGCCCACTCAGCAAATCCAGGCTCAAGGCAGGGTGGCAATGTCCCCAACACAGCCCGGTCACCCATTCCCACCCGGGCATCTGCCCTGCCCTGGTTTTTCAGCAGTAGGCTGAGATGAAGTGGCCTCAGAAAGGTCCTTCTGGCACCTCCCTGTGCCTCGGGAGCCCCTGGGATGGATTTAGGGCTAGAAGCCCCCAGTGGTGAAACAGCTTCCAAGATAAATCCCTTGGGATGAAGACGGTGGATAAAACGCGATGGTGGTCCCTGGGCATCCTCAGCCCCTGCCAGGGGACGTTCTCCCAGCGGCTGTGTGCACGGTCTGTCCCCAGGGTGGTTCCCCCATGGGATTTAGTGACAGAGAGGGAGGAGACCCGGGCACACTGAGCCTCAGTTGTCACCGTGCCCCACAGTGGCTCTGGGAATCCAGTCCCCTAAACTCAGGGAAAATTGAAGCCCGTGTTTGTAAAGCACTGGTCATCCTTCAAGTGCTTCACAGGGTCCTCACATGAGCCCTGTGAGGTAGGTCGGCGTCTTCACCCCCCTTTTATAGAAGGGGAAACTGAGGCACGGAAAAGGGTAATGACTTGCCAGACAGCAAAACTGGCAGCTCCCGCTCTGGGACCCCATATCCCGCTATTCCAACCCCAAACACGCTCCGCCAACTGCTGGTTACTCACAGCTTGTCCTTCTCCACCCCTCCACCTGCGGTAGGAGATGGAGCAAGGGCTGGGACATGGGGACCTGGGAGAGGGAGCAGCAGAGACCGGGCTCACACGAGGTCATTCACCCCCTGTCCCAAAGACCACCCGTCACCCCAAGAGGCGTCCCAGCCCAAAGGCTGCTTTGGGGTGCCCCAGGCAGAGACCCCCCCCAGCAGCCCCATGCCAGGCTGGGGTGTCGGGCACAGCACTCGGGGCTCCTTATAGGAACCTTCTGCCTATGGAAGTGAAATCCCACCAGATCTTTTTTGCTGACCCGCAGACCCCAGCCACCACGTCAGGAGGTGAAGAGTACCTGGACGCTGTCTCTTTGGTAATTTGCTGCAAAATGGCACGGCCCTGGGGAGCTGGTCCCGGGGTGCCGCAGGCTGTGGGGGACCCTAAACCCTGCGGGAGGTGGGACAGAGCCGAGAGCTCGGCTCCTCGGCACGCTGCCGGAGTAACAGGAGATGTGGGACGGTGGCCGTAAATCTCCTTTGCTTGTCTCATCTTGCCAAGACTGCTGCAGTTGTGATTAATCAAGAGACCAAAGAGAGATGATGGGAAATCGATGCCTTTGGGGGCTCCCGGGGAAGATGCAGGCAGGGCTGGGAGCAGCGCTGCTCTGCCAGACGGCTCCCGGCACAGACCCCGGCACACACCAGAGCCCGACACACACCAGACCCTTCCAGCTCCAGCAGCTCTGCCGACACGTCTGGGGAGTGGGACCAGCTGTGCTTTTCCCATTCCAGCAGCATCGGGGCTGTTCCCGATGGCTGGGCACGCACTCCACGTCCCATTATCCTGCCTTGGAGAGCACCGTGGAGCCACCGTTAGGGGTTTAAAAACCGAGCATCACTAGGACCTCCCCATCACAGCTCACCTCCGAGCATCACGCGGATGTGTCCCTTCCCTGTGGCATTCCCAGGAATGTCGGAAATCCTCCCCAAAGTGGATTTAAATCTGATACTGAGCAAAAGACTCATCATGAAAATGGGAGCAGAGAAGGCAGGCAGCCCTGTGATCCCAGTCCGAGGAGGTTCGCCTCACTCCCTCGAGGAGAAAGAAGATCCCCTGATGCGGATGGGCTCCCTCTGCTCCCCGTCAGGTGAAGGCACGTGTGCGGCAGAGCCGGGGAGCGGGGCCGTGCTTCGGGGCTGCCGCCAGCACTGGGACCGGAGAGTGCTCCAAGGAGAAAATGTCCATGGGGGCTCCGAGGGCCCGTCCAGGAGGGACATACTGAGTTGTGCACTTAGTATTGGCTTAGAGAAAGGGTTTTCCAATGCTCAGGGGCTCTGGGAAGCCCTGGAAGAGGTTCAAGTTTCAATCTCATGTAAGGCTTTGTTGACTCTGGACCTTCCCATCAAGAACTTGGGAGGGGGCAGTTAATGCTGATATGACTTAGGACCATTTAGGAGCTGAGCTCGGGTGGTGTGGGGGTGCTGATGTGCCCTGGGTCCCTGGTTGGGGCAGCCGCACACCCAGGAGTTCCACGTCTCTCCCCCCATCCCGACTCCTCTGGTCCCCTGGGTGGCCCACACTAAAGGTTCTGGTAGCCAAACCCAGGGTGTCACTAGCCAGGGATGTGCAGAGGCAGGTCCCTTGCTCCCACAAGATGCTCGGGGTCAGGCGGGAAAGCGAGGCCCCCCCAAGCCCTCGGTGAGCAGTCACTCCCCTGTCACCCGCAGCCCGGCAGTCGGTCACCACGTTACGAAATCTTTGCCTAAAAGAATAAACGGTCCCCGAGGTTAAAAAAGAAAAATCTGTTTAAAAACAACCTCCAGGTTCTCCTGTCTGTGTCTGGAGGGCACCAGCGGCTGCTGCCCGCGGGGCGAGCGGGTGGTTTGGGGCAAGCGGGTGGTTTGGGGCGAGCCCACGGCACAGGCTGCCTCCCCGCTCCCCTCCGTGCCCCCACGTGCCGGTTGGCACAAACGATGTCTTTAAGGCGTCTACCGAGATGTTTTAGCCTCCAGCGTGCCGGGCCGGTAGAGGTACCTCCAAATGGCATAGTAGTGGATGCCAGCTCCGATGGCCACGAAGAGGTGCCAGATGGCATGAGCGAAAGGGATGCGGCCGTCGCTTTTGAAGAAGACCATGCCCAGGCAGTATGAGAGTCCACCGGCCACCAGCTCTGGGAGGCCGTCCCTGTTGGGCTGGGAGCAAGCAGGGAGGTAGAGCTCAGCGGCTGCCGTGGTGCGTCTGCCCTTTTCCCACCGCTCCACCAAGACCAGAAGCGTGGCCCCAGCTGCAGGGTGCAGGCAGGACCCTCGCTCCACCTTCTGCTACACCCTCCCCTCCAGCAAGGCAGCGGGGACCCAGCAGCCCAGCTTTGCTGGGAGGATTTCAACGCAACGGAGCCCAGGCAGGAGGTCCGCTGGAAATGGACGTGGTATCTTCTGGGCACCCAAAGCACTTGTAAAACAAAGCCAGGCCACATCGTATTTGGGGATGGCTTTATCCATCACACGGCCTGGACGGCGCCAACCCACCGGAGACAAACCAGCCCGGCTGGGATTTGTCCCTCGCACTAAGCCCATGTGCTTCCTAGCAGTGGCTTACCATGGAGAGAATGACCAAGGCAGGGAAGAAGCCCATGATAACGTAGCACACCAGCTCCACCAGCTTGTACCTGTGACCGATAGAGAAGCTGCTTGGAGGAAAAGGGGTGGAGGTGCCATCACGGCAGGTCCCATGTCCTCATGTGTGAGCCACAGCACCGTGGCGGGGCTGGCACCCTGCTCTGGGGCTGATGGACCCCCACCCTGGCTTGGGAGCTGCGAGCTGAGCTCAGGGCATGGCCCTTGGGGCTTCGGGGAGACATCTGGAGCCTTTTGCTTTCTATTTGGTGCCACCATGTGGACGAAGCAACTCATAGCAGCACGTCCCCCCTCCCACATCCCCCCTCCCACAATCCTGCCACCCAAGCTCCTAAAACCAGGGTGCGGATGGGGAAGAACCTGGTCCAAGGAAGCTCTCCACTGCCAGTCGATCAGGAGGCTGCCCAGGGACCCTGTAGCTATCTATCCATCTGTCTACCTCCATCCTTCTTGCTCTCCCCTCCAGCTTGACTACCATTGGGTCATTAACAGGGCTGGCAGAGCTGAGCTGGGCTCTGCGATACCCACCAGCACGGGGCCAGGTAAAGGCACTCACCGCTCATGGAAGAAGAAAACATAGACGGTCCCGATAGATGCCATGATCCAGATGATCCAGCGCATGTGGGAGGCCCAGGGACCCAACTCCCGCAGGTTCAGCCTGCAAGACCCAGGTCTGCGGTGAGGTGCGTCCATGGCAGCACCCCGGTCCGGGCTGCGGGCAGCGAGGTGCCAGGGAAATGCTGCCCTCACCCCCATGGCTGTCCCACCAAAAGGTCCTCCCGAGTTGTAACTTCAACTTAAAGGGGTTGAAATCTATAGGATAGGAAAGTTTTGTGAAAAGGGGTAGGGTACAGCCTGGAGCAGAGAGCTGAGACGGAGAGGGAAACCCTATTTGTTGGAGCTGGGCTGATTTTCTCCCCTCCAGTGGGGCCAAGCGATAGCTCCCACCCACCGGTAACTCACCAGGGAGCGTATGAAGCTGCGATGAAGAAGTAGATCACCATCCTGTCGAACATGTGCAAGCAGTGCTCCACGGTCCTGCGGGACAGACAGATGGGTCACAGCCTGCAGCACTGGGGGCCTCTGGACCATCTCCCCCTTCCCAAGCCCCAGAGAATCAGGGCTGGTACCTGAGATGCCTCTTCTTCCAGGAGATGGTGTGGAAGATGGTGGAGACAATGAAGAGGCTGGACAAGCCAAAGCCATAGATCCAGGCAGAGATGGTTTCCCACTGATCGTCAGAGAGGATGTAGAGGATGGAGCTGCCGAGGATGCTGGGCAGGATCCAGAACTGGAAGGGAGAAGCAAATCTGTTGTTGCCTCTCTGGGTTTCCATTGAGCAGCTACAACACAGTCTCTGCTTTTCCTTTTAGGTGTTTCTTTCGCTTCTGGTCAAAGCTACCGCCCACAAGGGGCAGATGGGCCACCCGCACCAGCCAGCAGGGTCTCTCCCTGCGTGGTGCAGCTCCAAAACAGCTTCTCCAGGTGGAGGTAGGGAGGAGGAGGGAGGCACAAGGAGGATGGCTACCTCTGAGTCATCTCCCAGGGCATCCGAGTGGGAGCTGCCAGCTCCTGAGGGAAATGATGTGGGGAGCGCTTGCTCCTGCTGCCACATAGGCTGCCCCCTGGGAAGCCTGGCA